ATAAAATATTTTGGGAGGATTTGGTCTGAAAGAAATTTTACATATGCATTTTTATACAGGGGACATTGCATTGTCAGAAATACCACACTTAATCGTAACAGTAAATGCAATAATACTCTTACATGGCTGTTGATCAAGTATGGTTCAATGGAAGCAGAGGATCTTTTACCAGAACAAACTCAGTAGAAATGATCCTAGAGCCTGCCAAAACAATATGGTTCAAGATCTTATTTTTGGCTTAACAAACAAAAAGCCCTACAGAATCTAGAACACTTAGTACATTAATGACCATTAAAAAATCTACAAAGCATTATCTTTTGGCAAGATTTTTTCTTGATATTGTAAAAGGATTGCAAAGCAGGGAAGAAAAGCTTAAAGCTGGCTCTTGGGCCCAGCAGCAGTGGTGTGGTGCTCTGCAGTGCTGGAGCCATACAGAACATGAAGGACTGGTACTGGGTCAGCCTGTGTATACTGGGCACATTGTCCTGCTGGGAGATGATCACTGTGTGAAACCATGTTGAGAGAGAGAGAGAAAGTGTGTGTGAGAGAGAGAGTGTGTGTGTGTGTCTTATGAAATAAATAAACAAACTTTAAAAAATGGACCTCAGGGGCCAACAGATGGTATGGTAGTTAAGGTGTTGGATTCCCACAAAGCCAACCGCTACTCAAGTCCTCAATCTGAGGACTTGCTGAAGCAATGGTTTGCTTTCTTATGTTCTCTCTCTTTCTCTCTCATGACTGCACATGTCCTACAGAAAAAATTTTAAAATAATAATAAGTAAAATTAAATTAAAAAAATTCTTTTTGAAAAGAGGACCTCAAATAGTCACTTTAAGTGTCTGTTGACTTTTGCAGAAGGCTACACACCTGGATCTTTTCCTTATGCACCCAAAGTGTCTCATTCCCAACTTCCACATTGCAGATCTTACTTCTCTCAGATGAATGTTTTCTTTCCTCTTTTCAACAGGTGAAATAGAATTTTAGCCCATAATATATAGATACCTCTTCATATTAGTATTCAAAACTATCATGAAACCTCCGATTCAGAATTTGATTTGAGTCTTATCTTTACGTAATGTCAATTGAGAACTCTAAGCATGAATTCAAGTCTCCACTTTGAACTACAGAAGGAATTTTAAGGCCTAGAAGGAGCTAGAGTATAGTAGATCAAAGTATAGGAGTCATTGAAAATGAAAACATTTTCCTCCACATACTCATGGCCCCCACAATTCCTTGGGAAATGTGGGTGGGGGCTTTTAGAGGAGAACTTTCTTCCTTTTTTTATGGCAAATACCAAGGGCTATAAGGTTTTATTTGTTATATCTATGACATAGAGGTAAAGGCTGGAGAAAACAGGAAATAGATACAGGTGAAGGTAAATGAACATTTTACAGAAGCAGGATTCTTTTGAAAATTAACTTTTAGTTTTTGTTTTGTTTTTATTATTATTTTAAAAGCTTCCAATTAAAATCCAAATAGCAAAAAAGGTAAAATAATAATAATAATAATAATATTACTTTTTCCTCTACACCTACTTTCCAGAGGAGAGAGGCAAGATGTGCCTCTTGCATACATATCTAGAAATGTTCTATTGAGTCATATTCTTTTTTTTTTGAGAGGTTTTTGCCAGACAGACAGAGAGAGACATAGAGACAGAAAGCGAGAAATCACCCCCCAGGGGGGATGGTCACGCCGCAATCCCTTCTCCTCCATTCTCCTCTCGGGATCTTGGGCACACACGCACATGCGCCCGGCGTGAGTTTTAAGTCACCGGGTCCGGGACACGAACCGCGGTCAACTACGTGGGAGTCCAGCGACATAGCCATTACACTAGCTGCTGGTTCCCTATTGAGCCATATTCTGATCAAGAATCTGGAAGTTGGCTATAAAACACCACTATATTTTTCTTCAAAAAAATGAATACTAGATATTAAATATAAAAGTCATGATTTTTTTTTTTTTTTTTGGTCATAGGCCCTATGTGCTTACCAGAGAGAGATAGTGAGAGGGAACATAAGAAACACCCCCAGGGGTATTGCCACACTACAATCGCTTCTCCTCCGTTCTCCTCCTTGGATTTTGGGCATGCGTGCACATGTGCACAGAGTGATTTTCAAGCTGCCAGGTTCAGGACTCAAACCATGTTCAGTCATAAGGGAGTCCAGCACCTTACCATAATACCACCTGCTGGTCCCAAAGTCTTAATTGCATCTCAAGTCAAAGTTTGCTTATCATTTTTCAGTGCTTTTCAAAACCAAAACCCTTACTTATAAAACATAAGCTATCTAGGGACCAGCAGTTAGCATAATGGCTATGTCGCTGGACTCCCACGTAGTCGACCGCGGTTCGCGTCCTGAACCCGGTGGCTTAAACTCATGCCAGGCGCGTGTGCATGCGTGCCCAAGATCCCAAGAGGAGAATGGAGGAGAAGGGATTGCAGCATGGCCATCCCCTCTGGGGAGGGGGGGTGATTTCTCACTTTCTATCTCTCTGGCTCTCTCTCTGCCTGTCTGGCGAGCGCATGTGCCCTATAGCAAAAACCTCTCAAAAACAAAAAACAAAAAACAAAAAACATAAGCTATCTATAATAACATAAGTATCCTGGCATGACAACAGGCAAAATATCACAGAAAACAAACAGACAAAACAAACAAACAAACAAAAGCATGTCTTGTGTAGTTGACTAGCAAACAAGCAATCACAAAGATTCACTAGGGATTCTGTTAAATTCAGAAATCTATATTATTATAATCTATAGAAATTTAGGTATTCTAGGATCAAATACAAAATGTCTCAACATGAGATGACGTATCTATTAGATTCAGATTCTTTGATGGTGAGAGTCTTTGGACCAGTAGATGGCGTTATAATTATGTCACTGGACTGAAGATTGAGTCCTGGGTCCCGCAGCTTCAGCTCACGCTGGGCATGTGTGCGTGCATGCCCAAAATCCCAAGAGGAGAAGAGAGGAGAAGGGATTGTGGTGTGTGCATATACAATAAAACACAACTAGGCCCAGCCTCTGTGGCATAGTTGGTAGGATATTGAACTGTAGAGCTGGAAGCCACATGCTGACTGTGGTTCAAGTCCCCAGCTCAATCAGCCTGAAAACATGCTGGACACATGCATGCCTGTCCAGGATCCTGGTGGGCTGGAGGATGGAAAGGAGGGGACCAAAGAGTGACTGAACCCTGTGAAAGGTTCTCTCTCTCTTTCATATGCTCTATCATGAATAAAAAAAATAAAAAATAAAAAAAAACAGCCAGAAACTATCAGGGTCATGTCTTTGCATTTCAATTTTTTTTCCCCATAAAATGTAAAGAATTTTCCTCATGGAGCTTACATAAACTCATGGACTGTGAAAAAAATTTTTAAAGTGAAAACACTAATTGTATTAGTATTTATTGTTGCATAACAACAATAAATTATCACAAAATATAGTGATTTATAGTAGTCCTTTACTATCTCATAAAGTTTCTATGGGTCAGGAATTCAGATAGACCAGCGGAAATGTCTTTTTCCTGCTCCTTAATGCTGACAGCTTTAGTTAGAAGACTTGAAGTCTGAAAATTGGAAGCATCTGGTTACTCTTCACTCATATGTCTGATGATTGTGTCAGAACTCCCACACATGGCTTCTCATGTGGCCTAGGGTTCCCCAAAACATGGTAGCTACATTCTCAGGACAAGTGTCTTGAGAGGGAAGGCAAGGTAGACGCTACAACCCTTTTATGACTGAGCCTCAGAAGTCACACCACATCACTTCCACTGTTCTCTGTTAGGGCATTCACACCAAGATTTGAAGGGGAGGCACGTAGACCCCCATCTTTTAGTGGAGGTATCAGTCACATTGTTGAAAGAGCATGTGGGTTGGGATAACTGTTTAGATGTTTCCATTTGAAAAATATACTCTGCCACACTGTCCAAGGGATTAAGGGTTATTGTTAGTGGTAACATTAATGCTGAGAAGGTTCACTAGGCATGATTATTGACATCCCTCTTGTCAGATTCCGGGCTAGCCCTGTGCAAAATCAGTGAAATATGTAAGACCTGTCTTCAAAGATGTACCCCTTCCTATAACCTTCTACTTTAATCTTTTCATTGTTTTTCTTCCTCTCTCCCAAGGGCTCATCTTTCCATAATGCCTCCTAGATACCCAGGGTCCAAACTTTTCTATGCCATTTCCTGTACAAGCTTTCCTGGCCATCCTGGTTTACCAAGGCTACAAGAGATCTCCTTTCAGCTTCAGTTGCTAAAGTGAAAATGACTTACTAGCCATTTCACAGAATGAACTCATTTCTACAGTGTTGGGGCTTTCTGAAAGCAATGTCACATTTCAATGCATATTTTGGGGTACTGGCGAAGCCAATAACTCTCTTCATAGTTTATACTGTAAAATCATTTGCTCCTTTCTTCAGAAGGGCAAACATGTGTCCTTGGTATACACCAGAATGTTAACTCTTGTTACCTGTGGAATTATGAGTGACTTTTATTTTATTCTTTTATATTTTCAATCTTTTATAAGTTTTCTACAAAGAATGTGTATTGATTTTGTAATTTGGAAACAAAGCTATTTTTTAACAGCTTTATTGAAATATAATTCACATACCATACAATTCATCCATTTAAAGTGTACAATTCAATGGCGTTTTAGTGTATTTACAGATTTGAGCATTCATCACAACAATCAACTTTAGAATATCTTTATTATCCCTAAAAGAAGTCCCATACTCCTTGGCTGTCACCCCCAATTCCTCAGTCCCAATTTTTGTCTCTATTGGGTTTGCCTATTCTGCACCTTCCATATAAATGGAATCATATAATATGTGGTATTTTGTGACTGATTTCTTTCACATAGTGTAATGTTTTTCAAGGCTCATACAATTTATAGCATGTAACAGTACTTTTTTTTAATTGCTGAGTAATATTCCATTGTATGTAAATATCACATCATATTTTTCCATTCGTATGAGGGATGTTGAGGCTCATACTGACAGACCCCAAAATATGGTGCTTGAGCATATAATGAAAACTTGTTGTGCAGGGGCCATGCTAATCTTCTCTGTATCATTCCAATTTTAGTATATGTGCTGCCGAAGCAAGCACTTTGAAAAGACCTCAGATGCAAAGTCTCTCTGCCCTTCCATCCTCCTCTCTTCCCCAACCTCTTCTCCCTTGAAACAAGTCATAGAAATCAGAAATCAGAAATCCTCTTTCCCAAGGCAGGTCATAGAACTTAGAACTCCTCTCCCCCAAAGCAAGCCATAAAACCTAGAAAGATCACTTTCTCCCTTCTGCCTTGAAAATCCTCATTCCAAAGAGATTCTTCCCAAACCTGAGAGGAAAGAATGATACATAGAGAAGTCAAGAAGAACCAAAGACAGGCTTTACTGGGTTTCTCCCTCAGCCTCCCTACTCCATTTTTGTCCAGTCACATTTCATGTCATTCACATGTCCATTCTTCACTGAATCTAAGCATAAAAATAGTTTCCCCAGGATCTTTGGGTTTTCACTTTTGGAGGCTCCCATGTCACACAAAATCCTAATTAACTCACTAAGTTTTTCTCTTGTTAACCTGCCTTTTATCATTGGAGTGTTGGCCATGACCCTTAAGTTAGAGAAGCAAACGTAATATACCTCTTTTCCCCTACAGGAACATTTAAGTTGTCTCTATTATTTTGGCTATTATGAATAGTGCTGTCCTAAGCATTCACTTATAATTCTGTGAGTGACACACATTTTCATTTCTTTTGGTGTATACCTAACAGTGGACTTGTTTGATCATATGGTAACACTGTTTAGCCATCCAAGGAACTGCCAGAATGTTTTTCCAAAGTGGACACACTATTTTACAGTTACACCAGCTGTATGTAACTATTCTAATTTCTCTATATCCTTACCAACATTATTATCTGTCTTTGATTCTAGCTATCCTGCTGGGTATATCATTGTGGTTTCGATTTGTATTTCCCCAATGGCTAATGATGTTGAACATCTTTTCATGTGCTTGTTGGCCATTTATATATCTTCTTAGGAGAAATGTTCATTGCCAATTTTTTTTTGAGGGGGAGAGAGGGTTTTGCTATAGGGTGCCAGAAACACACAGAGAGACAGAGATAGAAAGCGAAAAATCACCCCCTAGGGGGATGGCCATGCCACAATTCCTTCTCCTCCATTCTCTTCTTGAGATCTTGGGCACACATGCACATGTCCCCAGCGTGAGTTTAAGCTGCCAGGTCTGGACTCAAACCACAGTTGACTACATGGGAGTCCAGTGACGTAACCATTACACCATCTGCTGGTCCCCATTGCCAATTTTTTAATTGGCTTGTATCTTAATTATAGAATTATAATAGATTTTTATATATTTTAAATACTAATCCCTCATAAGATATATGATTTGCCAATTTTTTCTCCCATTCTGTGGATTGTCTTTAACCTTTTTTGACAGTGTCTTTTTTTTTTTTTTTTTTTTTTTAAAGAAAGAGATACTTGTGCTCACTGGAGAGACAGAGAGAGAGAAACAGAGACAGAAAGCAAGAAATCATCCCCCAACGGGAATGGCCATACCACAATCCCTTATCCTCTATTCTCCTCTTGGGATTTTGGGCACACATGTATACCTGCCCAGCGTGAGTTTTAAGCTGCCAGGTCTGGGACTCAAACTGCAGCTGATTATCTGGGAGTCCAGCAACACAGCCATTATGCCATCTGTTGGTCCCTGATGGTGCCTTTGAAGCATAAAGTTTTTAAGTTTTTTTTTTTTTTTTTTTTTTTTGGAGGGGTTTTTTCTTTTTTTTTTTTTTTTGAGGGGTTTTTGCTATAGGGCGCGTGTGCTCGCCAGACAGACAGAGAGAGAGAGAAATCACCCCCTCAGGGAGGATGGCCATGGCGCAATCCCTTCTCCTCCATTCTTCTCTTGGGATCTTGGGCACGTATGCACATGTGCACGGCGTGAGTTTAAGCCACCGGGTCCGGGACTTGAACCACGGTCGACTACGTGGGAGTCCAGCAACATAGCCATTATGCCAACTACTGGTCCCAAAGTTTTTAATTTTTAGTAAGTCTGGTTTAATCTATATTTTCTTTTGTTACTTGCGTCTTGGTGTCATATACAAGAAACCATTGCCTAATAAAAGTCTCAAAGATTTACCCCTTTGTTGCTAAGAGTTTTATAGATTTAGCCCCTATATTTAGGTCTTTGATTCACTCCATTCTGAGTTAATTTTCATATGTGCCATGAGGTCCAACCTCATATTTTTGCATGTAAATATCCAAGACCTAGCACTATTTGTTGAAGAGACTGTTCTTTTCCTTACGGAAGCATTTTGACACCCTTGTTAAAAATCAATTTAACATAAATGCAAGTGATTATTTTTGGCTTCTCAATTTTATTCACTGATTTTTATGTCTATTTTTATGAGAATACCTCATAGTCTTGATTACTGTAGCTTTTTTTTACTTGGTAAGTGTTTTATAGTTTTCAGAGTATAAAAGTTTTGCACCTCTTTGTTAAATTTACTCCTAAGTATTTTATTCCTTTTTTTTTTTTTTTTAAGTTTTTGCTATGGAGCATGTGCACTCACCAGAGAAAGTGAGAAATTATGCCCTGTGGGGGATAGCCATGCCGCAATCCCTTTCCCTCCATTCCCCTCTTGGGATATACATGCACACATGCCAGCATGATTTTTTAAACCTCCAGGTCTCATATTTGAAAAGCACAGCTGGCCATATGGGATCCAGTCCCTTAACCTCCATGCCATTCTTTTAACTGCTATTATAAATGAAATTGTTTCCTTAACATCATTTTTGTTTGTTCAGTACTACACCACAGAAATACAATAGATTTTTTTGAGTCTTGATCGTGTATTCTGCAACCTTGCTGAATTTATTTAGAACTTCCAATGGTCTTTCAGTGGGTTTAAGATTTTCTACATACCAGATTATTCACCTGCAGATAGAAATAGTTTTACTTGTTCATCTACAATCTTCATAGTTTTATTTCAATTTCTTGCCAAATTGCCTTAGCTAGATCCTCCAGTACAATACTGAATAGAAGTGGTGTAAGTAGACATTCTCATCGTCCTGTCTTATTCCTGATCTTAGGGAAGAAATATTCAATCTTTCACCATTAAGTATGACATTAACTGTGTTGTTCTTTTTAAAAATAGATATCTTTTCAAGTTGAGGAAGACCCCTTTTATTCCTAGTTCTTTGAGTATTTTTATCACAAAGTTGTGTTGATTTTGTCAAGTGTTTTTTCTGTACCTATTGAGATGAACATGTGGTTTTCATCCTTGTTAATGTGGTGTATTACCCTATTTGATTTTTTGGATGTTAATCCAACCTTGCATTCCTGGAATAAATCCCTTTTGAACATAGCATACGATCATATTTCTGTATTACTAATATTTTGTCAAAGACTTTTGTGTCTATATTCAAACACATATCATTCTGTAGTTTTTCTTTCCTTGTGAGGTCTTCGTCTGATTTTGGAATCAGAGTAATACTGGCCTCATAAAGTAAATTGGAAAGTTTTCCCTTTCCTTTTAGTACTATTATTTTTTGAAAAGTTTATGAAGAATTGGTATTAATTATACTGTATAAATGTTTGGTAGAATTCATCAGTGAAGCCATTTGGTCCTGTAGTTTTCATTGTGAGAAGTTCTTTGGTTACTAATTAAATTTCTGCTTTTTCTAGTTTCATTCAGACTGTTAAATTTTTCTTCTTGTGTAAGTTTTGGTAGTTTTTGTCTTTCTAGGAATTTTCCCCTTCCATCTAAGTTATCTAGTTTATTAGCATCCCTTTGAAGTTACTTTGACAGAATGAAAGGTATTCTCTTAAAATATTTTAAATTTCTAGATGGTCAGTAGCGTTGTCCCTTTTTAATTTGTGATTCTAGTAATTTGAATTTTCTCTCTTTTTTCTTTTTTTTTTTCCAGCATGATTTTCCTTTATTTTTAAAAAATCTATAAAACCTCATAATGTTTTTATTATTACAAATTCTGTTATGCCTGTAAAGGTAGTTTACCATCCACATTCAGAAAAGTAATTAACGTAATAGCTCAACATGAATAGATATAGCTTGAGCACAAAGCATATAATTTTATGTTGCACTATGTTACCTATTACTTTATAATTGTCATTAATGTAGTATGGATGATTTAGTTATTATGTTTTTATTTTAATTTATTTTTTAAATTCAATTTAATTTATTGTAATCTTTTTTTATATTACATTGAATCCACATATCTTTATAGTGTATTACATTTCTTTTTCCAGCACAACTACCATGCATATCAGTCAAGACAAAGACATTACCATCCATATCATCATCATTATCAAATAGATTTTCATCATTTTATTATTATTATTATTTCTTTTTATTTTTTTCAGTATAGCCAAAGTTGTCACTTTTACTAAGCCAATACTGGTTTCATTGATTTACTCTATTGTTTTTCTCTTCTCTTTTTCATTAATTTCTGTTCTGATTCACATTATTGCCTTTATTCTGCTTGCCAATAAAACGTTTTTGACTTATTGAAAAAAAGAGAAAGATATTTATCCACAATATACTCTTGATGACCATTTGGGTTTTTTGTTTTGTTTTGTTTTGTTTTTATTGAGACTAGAAGCTATTATGTATAAAGTTGTACAAACATTCTATTTATATGAATATTTTAATTTATCTTGGGTAAATATCTCAGAGAAAACTAGGAATGGGGGAGATGTATGTTTAACTTTACTAAAAACTGTCAAACAGTTTTCCAAAGTAATTATGCCACTGAATAGTTCAACCAGCAATCTGTGAAAATCACCATACCCTCCAAACATTCAGTATTGTCACTTTTTACTGTTAGTCTTATGGTGGGAGTATAGTGGTATCTTATGGTGGGAGTATAGTGCTATCTTATGGTGGGAGTATAGTGCTATCTTATGGTGGGAGTATAGTGGTATCTTATGGTGGGAGTATAGTGGTATCTTATGGTGGGAGTATAGTGCTATCTTATGGTGGGAGTATAGTGGTATCTTATGTTTTAGTTAGCATTTCCCTGATAATTAATGAGATTGATCATCTTTTCACTTCTGTAAAAGTAATTGTTCA